GTCTTATCCACTTAAAGAATCTAAATCCAAATAAAGATTTGGATTAGACTCCTCCAAATGGATTAGGAGTGCTGATCTTTTAAGGCTTATAAAAGGAGGATCTACCCAAGTTTTTCTAGACCTCTAGTATGTTACAACAATGATCAAGAAAGTTACTTGATTGAAGCTACAGACAGTGAGGAAGATCCCGTGACTTATATAGAAACTATGTTAAACATAGACTCCTTGAAGTGGGTAGATGCAAGTGGATCTACAAGAAGAAGAAGGGCCCTGATGGAAAAGTTGAGACCTTCTCGCCTGAGGCCATGCTTTCAGAAGCTAGAACATCCGATTTGACTCAACATTCAAACAGACAATGGAAGATAAGGTTACATTCATGATTTTGTATGTAGACGACATTCTGCTCATTGAGAATGTTGTAGGAATGTTAGCTATGGTGAAGGTATGGCTTTTGTAGCAATTCTCCATAAAAAATCTTGGAGAAGCCTCTTATGTCTTGGGACTTCGACTCTATAAAGATAGATCGAAGAKGTTGGATTATCCCAATCTACTTATGTTGACAAGATTGTCAATAGATATAACATGCAAAACCCTAAGAAGGTATTCGTTTCTGTCAAGGATAGAGCCACTCTCTCCAAAGGAATGTCACCTAAGACCCCTAAGGAGATAGAGGACATGAGAAATGTTACCTGTGCCTCAGCCATAGGGAGCATCATGTATGCTATGTTGTATACTCATCCAAACATTGCTCGGGCTGTTAGTGTTGTAACTAAATATCAATCTTACCCAGGACAAAAGCATTTGACTGCTGTGAAAATCATACTAAAGTACCTATGGAAGACTAAAGACTATTGTTTTATCTTCGATGGCAATTCACTACAAATGGTTGGTTATATTGATGCTGACTTCCAGCTTGACCCAGATAATAGAAAGCCTATATCTGGATACTTTGGGAACCTATGTAGTAAGAAAATTAATCCATGACCGAGGCCAAGCACATTGCATAAGTGAAGCTACCTAATAAATAGTACGGATGAAGAAATTCATCCTATAATTTGTAATGCTACCATATCACCCATTCTACTATTGTGTGACAATACTGGATTTACAGGAGGTTGTTGGTAGAGGGGACATCTAGATTCAGAAGGTAGCATTAGCGGAGAATGTGGCAGACCGATTGACTAAGCCACTACACAAAAAGTGTTTGAGAAACACGTGGACAGTATGGGACTAAGGCTTATACCCTATTGGACCTAAGTGCAAGTGGTAGCTATTAGACAATGTTTGCCCTTAGCTCTGATCATATTGATGTACATATACATTTATTGTAAATGAATAAAACTACATTATCATTTCATGTTGATATTTGTATGTTTTTGTGAAATTACCCCTTAAACTGGACACTTATGAGACTCATGTTAGTTTAGAATGTTCTCAGCCATTAGATAGAATTGGGGAGTTTATCCTGCTAAAGTTGACACTGATGTGGTGCTAAAGAAATTGGGGCAGCTTGTCTCAGCTGCTAGGGTTAGCCCAAAACACATGTAGTATGTGTTTGGTTGAAACACTGAACTTGGACCATTTTCTAGTTATGCCCTATACTTTGGAGATTGATGGGAAAATTTGGAAAATTACACATAACCCCTAGACTTGATTATGGTACTACACTACATGTTGGATTGGGTTGTCTTTGATATGGCAAGCAGTGAGATCTATTGAGGGTCAAACCTGGGTATGTTGGGGTAGTTTGAGAATTCATCTGAGTGGGTGATCATAGTGATAAGATCGACCCCTTTGTTGAACAAAGTGAAAGATAGGACTTACACTCTCTCTGATGGAAACCTAAACTGTCGGCAATGGATTTCAACTGTGTTTGAGATTTGGTTTTGCAAAATATATTTGTATGATATATATATATATATATATATTAATGTTTTATGATAAATGTTTGCAAAAGGTTTTAATTCCTATGATCCATCTGAGAAGAGAGTGTGACACTGCACCTTGTAGCCAGGGAAGAGGTCCTTCCTTGTTGGGCAGTGTTTGATTATTATGGGCCGAGAGGTTAAGTGTAAGAGACCATTAAGGGCCGATTATTTGATGGGCTTTATCTTACTTAAGTTCATTATCCTTGTATTTTCATAGGATGACTGAATTCAATGATCATTTAAGTGTAAGTGTTGGGCCCATATTGAGCCGATAGTGATGTGCCCAGGGGTTCACTATGTTTATCAATGAATTTGACCAAGCCTTTTCACAGAGGCTGGGCTAAACCGATGTGGACTTATGTGAGGTCATTGTGGGGTCCCACGCCATACAAATCAGGCCTAAGTTGGCCATGCAACACCCTTGGGTCGTGAGCCTTATAGCTGATGGGCCTAAGGCCCATAATCAATATGATTAATTAAAATGTCACATGATAGCTTAAGTTGTCATGTGACATTGGGCAAATCTAGGTTTGGATCTGGGTATGGAGCACCTAATCTTATAAGAAGATAAGGTATATCTCTAATTAGAGTCTAGATCTGATTTAGATTTGGATTATCTCCTAATTAGATTAGGAGATAGCTCCCATAAGAGATTATAAAAGAGGAGGGGCAGACCAATCCAAGACAAAATCATATTTTTGTAGTTTCTGGTTCTCTCTGCACCCTTTTGTCACCTAGTTTTTCCCATTTCGACCTCAGATATTTGGACTGATATAGATTAGTTTTTCCCTTGATTTTTGCAAGAAAAAATCAAGGGATAACAGGTTCAACTTCCCTAATTCGACCCAAGCAGTTGAGTTGTAGTTTTGCTGAAAACTGTGTTGTTGAAACAGCTTCAAGAATACATTGTGCCATTTTTAGTGGAGACTGGTTTTAGGACTGATTTGGGCTTGAACTTTCACCTTGGAATCTGCATTTGTGGTATATGTATTAGGTATACATGTCCCTCTTTGATTGGTTTCAAATCTGGTCTAATTCAGTGCAAGATCGATCCTGAAAAATGCAAATTTTCAAAACATAGGGAATTCAATTCCCAAAAGGATTAGCAAATTTTTGAAAAACTTTCCAACCATCTAGCATGGTTCAGCCATTCATATGATGGATCCTAACCCTTCCAACAATAAAGTCCGTCCGATCAACTCTGATGCAGACAATGCGGAAAGACGGGTCTAACGGTCGAGCGTCGTGATCCAGAGAAATTAGAGATGTAACTCACTCATAACGGGAGTTGGCCACCACGTCCTATAGGTCTCCAACTATATTCTAACCAGGTCGGTGAAAAGAGGTCACTTCTCATCCTGAGGACCCTAGCTTGAACTTGTGATGGCCGACTTGGTCCTTAGTCGAAGTGCCTACGTAGCGCTGAGGTGTTAAATAGCGGTTCAAGGTCACCACATGGCATAATATCACTGGAGGGCCAAATCACCCCTCATCACCACCCATTGAAAAAAGTTTCATGGTAGAGGTATTCTCCTCTGTATACAAGTAAATGCAATGAAAGTTGGCACATCTACCAATTGATAAGCAAGACCTTATATAGGTAGGCAAAGGTAATTGCTTATAGGATTATTGGGGTAGTTGTAAATTATCCTATTTGGATTGTAACATATTTTAGACACCTGTATCATGCATCTCTTCTCACACTTGCATTCTTTAGGCTTGTATTTCAAATATTTGATATATAAAGACTCATCAATGGATTGAGACATCCTTGCATTAAAGGAATTATGAAAGATGGCAATAATAACAATAAAACAAGACCAAACCTCATTATAAAACCATCAACTCAACTTCAAACGAGTTAATTTGTAAAGTTTGATATGATACGCCCAATACGAGGGGTATCATATCGTATTTTTTAAAGTTTGATATGAGATATGGTAGAGAATTGGTCAGATTGTCTTTTTTCCATTGTATCGGGCATGCATTTGGGTGTATCAAAGGCGTATCAAGCATATTGGTCAATATCTATGAAAAAGATGCAAACAAAAAATGAAAAAAGTAAAGCCTGAAATAAGCCTTCTTTCACCCCTAAATGACTTTACAATTCCATAGAGCAATTGGAAATTTTCTTCAATATATATTTTTTTGATTTTTTATATTTTAGAATTAATATATTTTATGATCTAATAACAAGGATTAAAATATATTATAGATCTATGGATGATCTATCATATCCACCGAGCAATTGAAATTTCTTCTTCAATAATTATTATTTTGCATATATTGTATAATGTTTATTTATTTTTTATTTTTATAATTTTTGAAAATAAAAATAAATAGTATTAAGAAATAATTATTAATTATATTTTTACTTAGAAATTGTGCCAGTACATGTTTTATGATTGGATAAGATAGTTAGATTTTACCATCCCTTAAAACTTAAGAATTATAATTTATAAATTATAGTTAATCATATGATTTTTTTAGTAAAATTATAATTGACTATGGTATTTTTTATGATAAAACCATTAAAATATACTAATTTAATATATGCATATTTCATTGAAGCCTTATATTTAATGATATTGATATATTTTTGTGATTTATTAAAATATTTATACTATTTTCATGCATATATTTTTATTTTTCTCCAATACGTGTATCCCCTCGTTTAAGGTCCCTCTATACAGTTCAACGTTTTCGATACGCGATACTTCGATTATTTGAATTAAATCAAAATTCTATCGGTATTTAAGGGCCCCTCTTGTAAATGAGAATTCTCCGATATCGGATCGGGATCTACTTCAACAATACCCGAAAATTCCCCTCGTTTGAAGGCTCACCTATCCAATCTCGACCCTATTTTGTTGACTTCATCAAGTAAAGCTCTCTCTCAGCTTGTTAGGATATATGTCCGAAATCCCAGATTCGAATAATATGACTCGCGTTTACAGTCATTTTACTCTTGTTCGCTTAAACAGACATTTTGGGAGCCTGGACCTTCATGATGTCACCACCCGTCACTTTTCACATAGCTTTAACGATATATAATATTTTTAATATTTTAAATATTACTAAATCCAAAAAAGCATACTGCACGATCAAGTTGGCGGGTAATTTTATTGCAATTATTTTTTCTCTATTTTTAGAGAGTAGACTACACTAGAGACAGAGAGAGAGAGTAGTCTGATTAACTTTACTTGGAGCCTTCTTTACTTTTGGTTATAATTGCCGGTTCTTCTTTTTCTTGTGTTTTGGCCGATCTCAAGTTTGAAGCTGTTTTTCTTTTTCATTGTCATATCTTGTTATTATACTCGTTTGGAATTTGGACGATTTGCACTGTGTTTTGGGAATCTCAATGGAGAATTCAATAGTTGAAGTGGAGTCTGCCGAACAACCAAAGCTGGATTTACCTGATACACAGGTACTTAACTTTCTTTTTATTGGGGCTTTTGATGGTTTGCTTACCTTTCTTTTTTTGTTTTTTTTTATGTGAAGAGCAGTCGATGTTATTATTTTGTTTCTTAGAGGATTTTTTTGATGGTGAGATGATTCTTCGTGTTGATGTTGCATTTTACTCGAGGGGTTCTATCTTTTTTTTTTTTTTTTATCTTTTTAGTGCTACATATTTTTGGTGGTTGATGAACTTGATCCAATATCTGGTTCTCCCCAGTCTATTGGCAGTAACTGCAAATGGGTTGGATTTTTTTTTTTTTTTTTGTGAAATTTTTCTTAGTTTAGCACCCTTTTTTCTCAGAGAATTGACATAGGAATCTCATTTCCTGTGTCATTCCCCCCCCCCCCCCCCCCCCGAAGACGTTCTAGAATTTCTGTGAGCTTGATTAGAAGTATCACCGTAATCAGATAAGTTTCAAGGGGTGATTATATAATGGGGAAATGAACACTACTTTGTTGGATTTTAGGAGGTAGAGTAAATACATGCTAGGTAGTGTTACCGGTGCTTGATAGATACATCTTAGGTTTTATGAATTAGTTTGGTTTGGTTTGTAAGATATGTTCCTGTAATCTTCTACGCAATTCAGTGTGGTCAAATTGTAACTTTCATATTAATGAAGTTGTAGTTTCATATTTAATAAAGTTCTTCCTTAGACAGTCTTGGTATCATAGAGAGCAAGCACACTAGAGTGCTGTCAGATCCCAATCCATTTTTAGACTCAGTAATACACTCAAGCAGATTCTGAATGCTGTTCTGACAAAAACAAGTTATCCCCAAAGACATGGAAACTCTGGAAAGGTGTGTTTGCAATAAAAATTATATCTGAAAATATAGTTGACTGGCAGTGCACTTCTCAAATACTAAACACAACTAGCTTACATAAGCCTAACATCTCAGTGCTCACTAGAAATTGGTTTTGATATGTGGGAAAACATATCGAAGGTTGAACAGATTAATAAAAGAATCACTTCTCACTAATAAATAACTCACAAATTAAATGAAAAATGAAACATTAATATCCTCTCCCCAAAATGGTGAACCTTAAAAGTGCTAAACAATCTGAACCGGTGATGTCCAAGCCCTTTAAGCTAGAACTCCTTTCATCCAATTTTAAGGAACGTAGTCTAGTTAAAATAGATCTGTGCCATAACATTTTTACCAGTTACCAAGGCTTAGTTGGTTGACATTCAAGCTTCCACATAGTATCATGTCTCTAATGTTTTCAGTAATCTGCTATGACTAGTGATATTCCTATTAGCATTTCTATGAGCTTTGTTGTGTTAAATAGTTTTCTTAAAATTTGCATGGCACATCATTTCTTTTTGCAAGAGAGGCCTGTAATTTATACATACAAATTTCAAATGTTTAACTATTTATTGCAGTAACATTTGTCTCATTCAAATATAATTTTGGATTATCAAGAAATTATCCAAAATAATAGTGGGCCTTGTAGCATTAACTATTGATTATTCTGTATACATTTTGGCATTTATTATTGTAGTAATCTAGATAGTTGCATTCTATTATGAATCAATTCATATACATTGAATATGTTTGAAATGGCTCTGATAATTGTAGACAAGAAACTGGAGTGAAAGTGGGGAGACCTCCTCACTTCAACATTCAAGACGCCCAAACCTCTCCTCATTGCAAATACCGACAAGGTCTCTGGAAGATACAGTGCTTAGTTCTACCAGAATGGATATTCCTTCAGTACCAAGCCCCAGTTCTAGAGCAGGCTTACCCCCAAGGCCAAGTTCAGCAAAGTTCAAACCATCCATGAGAAATCTGCTTCCACAATTGAGTTTCAGAACAAAGAATTTGTCTCAGGAAGGTGAGAAGACAGTTCTCCTCATTGCAGATGTGACTCCATCAGAAGTACCTCCAGATAAACCTTCAACTTCAAGGTCTTTTTCTCTGACCAAAGTCTTTTCCTCTCCTTCGACAAAAAGAACACACTCTTTACCAGTTACACCAGTTGCACATTCAGGTCCAGACACTGTATGGGAAAAAAATCTGGATGTTCAATATGAATTCTCTGTAAGTATCTTTTTCATTGTTCTTATTTCCAGTTATTAGCTCAAGAATCTGAAGGCTTTGATGCCCATATGCCTGTACAAAGGTGCTGTATAATGTTGTGTACTTCAATTTTTAGTGTAAGTCATGTATCTAACAGTGTCCAGACTCCAGCTGTGTCCTTGCTATATCTGCCTGAAGGACGTTTTACTCATAAGCAGTGATTGCTCACTTGGGCTTTACTCTATTTGTTAATTCTCAAATAGGATTATTGCATTTTCTTGCAGAAGTCAGAAGTTCAGCTGCATATAACACGCTCACTCTCAGTTCCAGTCAATGTAAAAAGCAGAAGCTTAAGGCAAATGGATTCCAAAGGAGGTCTAATCCGTGTAATCTCAGCAACCTATGGCTCTGCAGCTGTTGATGGAGCCTCACCAAATGGTGCCCCAGAAAATACTGGTAGATGCTAATCTATTATTCATAGTTTTTCAAACTCATTAGCTATGTATATATAACATACTTAGTTTACTATTAAGGTGTGAAAGCTTTGAGTGGCTCCACAGTTCCATTGGACTTCATTGCCTACTCCATTTTTTTTTGTTATACAAATATTATCCAATTATAAAAACAAACAGAAAAAATATATTGCTTTATTTGATCCAAAAGATGTAAACATGCAATATTTGAAAAAGGAACTTAAGTAGTTTTTTGGTATATAAATTTCTGCTCTTTTCCTAATCTATTTAACTCAATGAAGTATGCCCCAATTGTTTGGGGTTGGCTAGAAGAATCTTCTTTTTCCATTCCACTCTACTATTGGTTATATGTTCCATTAAATTTTCAAGGTTTGAATAAGAAAATTAAATGGGGAACGAGCATCTAACTTTGATTGTTATAGACTGCTATGGCATGGATCTCTTTTCATGCTTTTATATATTTGTGTAACTAAGGAATAGCATATGAATGGGGTAACAACCCTCTAACTTTGCTGTTATTAAAACCTCTTTTTCCCTATACTATAAATGGCCAAAATGTCATTAGAATCTTCTGCCTTCCCTGTTCTCCTCAAACTTTTTATTTTTTATTTTTTTACTTAATAGTTTGGCATTGAAACATTTGTGATGTTCACTTCTGATGCCACATAGTTTTGATAAGGATTCCATCCCCTAAACTTTTGTTACTGGTGCTGATGCCTATTTTTTACCATATTTTGTCCATAATAGAGAATAAATTGTCAGAACCATATGGCATTGTTATTGCTTTCTATTAATGGAAACTTTTTCTGTCCTGATACTTAATGTTCTTTATGTAAAATATTTGTTTCAGCAACTGAAGATGCCAGTGAAGATATTCCTGAAGAAGAAGCAGTCTGCAGAATTTGTATGATTGAGCTTGCGGAAGGAGGTGAGACACTTAAGATGGAGTGTAGCTGCAGAGGAGAACTTGCACTTGCTCATAAAGAGTGTGCAGTGAAATGGTTTAGCATTAAGGGAAACAAGACATGTGATGTCTGCAAGCAAGACGTTCGTAACCTACCAGTAACATTACTGAAAATACAGAATACTCGGACTGTCAATAGACAGTCACAAGTGGTATCACAACCAAGAGAAGTTACTCGTTACAGGCAAGTGGATAAGTTTTTGAAAATATTAGGTTTTCTCACCCATTTTGATACCCTGTTTAGTTACTTTTAGTTTTTGAAAGTCTGCAGAAAAGATACATGAAATTTTCCTGGTTATTTACAGTTGCATCTTTGGATAAAGATTTGTATTAATTATTTGGTAGGAATTTAAATCTCAGTTTAGAAATCAGTCTTGAATTTTATTGGTTTTGATATTGGCTGAAATAGAAATGAAAACTCAAAAAATTGAAAATTTACTGAAATTTTAATCAACATGCACATTAATACATGCATACATGCATATATGTGTGGGTGTCTTAAATCAAATAAAAAACTCAGGCTAAATACTTAAAGACTTATCCCTTAGATAGTAGGTCTCAAGTACTTATGTATAAGTTTCCCTTCCTAGTATTTGCTTTTCTCCAAAGAGAATAAAAGAAGTTATCATACCATACTCCACTAGTATGAGATTTTCAGCCAAGTATTTATCTGTTATGTTAGTTAACTTCTATGGACCAATGACTACAACCTTTATCCAACCAATAATAGTGTATTAGTTCCCTTCTACCTCAACACTCTCTAGTTCAAGTGGATGAATAAACCTGAGACCCATATATAAAGCCAGTACCTCTTACAAGGTAAGCGCCTTTTTGTTGTCTCAAATCCAGTCTTCAACAAGTGCACAAAGGACATTGAAGTTAATTATTACTTATTCATGTTCAGTTTCTAGCTAGTCTTATTTCTCTTCTATATAGCTTCCTAATCTCAATTAGCAGAGATTTTCTTCAATGCTATCTCATGATCAAAATAATTGTTTGGTTGACAAAATGGTGCTATTTCCACAACTTTATTTTGATGGGGAGGATGAAGGAGATGACTTTGAGTTGGTTTGTGTTGAACGGACCAAAAATCATCAGTATGATGGCCGAATCAGCTACGGTTTATGGCTGAATTTCAAAAAAATTTCAGTCTGAACCTGAGGATCAGATTCTCTGAATTTGGAGAATTGGATTCTCCTAGGATTGATCTAGGACTGGGTCGAACCAGATTTGATTCACAAAATAAATATGAGCATATCTGATACGGAGTCCAAAAATTGCAGCTTGTGGGGGGTTCTTATGCCCAATACTCAGACCCAAATCGGCCTCCCAATTGAAGATGGCACAATTGATGTTGGAGCTCGATCGTGTAACAAGTCCTCAGACGGCTTCTCTAACAAGCTTGGATTTGTGCAGCTATGAAACCACTTCAATTTTGATGTGTTATAGTAAAAAACACAACAAAAACAAAAGAGCTGATCCTATTACAATGATTACCCACTTAAATAATATTCTAGGCTGTTCCAACATACCTAGGTATTTGACCAAAAGAGGATTTCATTGATTGGCATATCAAAAGCAGCCTAGTGTAAAACTTAGTGCAATATCATTGTCAAGTCCAAGGTTAAGTGCAATTTTCTAGTTTTGCTCATCTTTCTCTAAGGTCCAGGGCATAATTAGAAATTGGTCCATGTTCAATGTTTCTTATAAACATCCATTGACTATACTTAGGGTCTAACCCCAACAACTAAGACAAGCTATTCTACCATTTTGGTAGTACATTAGTGTCAGTCTTGTTAGGATAAACTCCTTAAGTTTATCCATTTGTTGAGAACCTTTAAACTAATATAAGTCTCATTGGTGTCCAGTTTAAGGGGTAATTTATAGAAACACATCAATCAAAACATAATATAATAATGAAAAGATTTTTGTTCATTCATAAAACTTAGTATAAATCTATTTGATTGGTGCCAAGGGCATACACTGTCTAACAACTCCCACTTGCACTTAGGTCCAATTGGGTACAAACCTCAGTCCCACATTGTCCACATTGTCCCTTGAACACTTTTTGTGTTAGTGGCTTAGTCAATAGATCCGCCACATTATCCATTGATGCTACCTTCTGATTTGGATGTCTCCTCTCTCAATAATCTCTTGCAAGATATGGTATACCCTCTTGATGCGCTTAGACTTCAAGTGAGCTCTTGGCTCCTTGACTTAAGCGATGACTCCAATGTTATCAAACAATAGTGGAATGGGCGACATGATGGAAGGTGCAACTCCTAATTCCTGGATGGATTTTTTAATCAAACTGCTTCCTTAATAGCTTCACTTGTGGTAATGTACTTGCCTCGGTCGTGGAATCCACCGTGGATCCTTGTCTGCTACTTCTTTAATTGACAATATAGGATCCCAACATAAAAATGTATCTAGATGTAGAATTTCAATCATCTGGATCTGATTAGAAATCGACATCTGTATACCCGATTATTTGCGGTGGATTACCATTGAAGATAAGGCATTAGTCTTTTGTTCTTCTCAGGTATTTTAGTATGTTTATCACAGTTGTCTAGTGTTGGATTGATATTTACTCACAACACTAACAACCTGTGCAATGCCAGGTCAAGTGCACAACATAGGATAAATAATGCTCTCTACGGCTAAGGAATATGGGACCTTTCTCATTTCCTCTATCTTCTCAGGGGTCTTAAGTGACATTCCTTTGGAGAAAGTGATCCCATGTCTGAAAGGAACAAATTTTTTCTTGGAGTCCTACATGTTGAATCTTTTGACAATCATGTCAATGTAAGTAGTTTATGACAATCCAATCAATTGTTTCAGTCTATCTCTATAGAGTCGAATTCCCAAGATATAGGATGCTTCTCTAAGATCCTTTCATGGAGAACTATTGTGAGAGCCATACCTTCACTGTGACAACATTCCTACATCATTCCCAATGAGCARAATGTCATTTAAAAAAGTACTAGGAATGCAACCTTATCTCCCACTATCTTTTGTAAACACAGGGTTCATCAGGATTTTGCTCGAAGTCAAACTGTTTGACTATTGAGTCAAATCGGATGTTTCAACTCCTTGAAGCCTACTTCAGTCCATATATGGATCTGTTAAGCTTACATGCAATGTGTTCCTAACTCTGAGTTGGTTTATGTTGAATGGATTGAAAATCATCAGTATGATGGCCAAACCAGCTAGGGTTTATGGCTGAATTTCAAAAAAATTTCAGTTCGAACCCGAGAATCGGATTCTCTGAATTTGGAGAATTGGATTTTCCTAGGATTGATTTAGGATTGGGTCGAACCAGATTTGATTCACAAAATAAATATGAGCATATCTGTTATGGAGTCCAAAAATCATAGCTTTTAGAGTGGGGGTTCACGCCCAATACTTAGACCCAAATCGGACTTCCAACTAAAGATGGCACAATTGATGTTGGAGGTTGATCGTGTAACAAGTCTTCATCTGAACTGCTTCTCCAACAAGCTTGGAATTGTGCAACTGTGAAACCATTTCAATTCTGATGTGTTATAGTAGAAAACACAACAGAAACAATGAGAGAACAAAGGCTCTCAAGGCTGGTCCAAATTAGGGTTTATGGGAAGCAAGAGAAAAGAGAGAGTGCAAGACTAGTAGGTCGAACTCTCCCTTTTGTATCTTTATTCAGACCTCAATCCCAATGGAATTAGGACTTACCCAAACTGATTTGGGTAGGTCTCTAATACATTAGATAACGCAGTGATTTAAAAGGCGCGCCTCAGGAACCTAGACACACAGGCAAGGCGCATTCCAGGGTATGCGCCTAACCTAGGTCCTAGGCGTAGCCCCTTTCAAAAGGCGCATGCGCCTCAGCCCAGGTGTGTGCCTTTTGAAAATTTGATGCTTTTTTGCTTTTTTTGAACATAGTGGCTGGGCTGGGGGCTCTGCCCTCAGACCCCCATGCCATGCTCCTTGAGGCAAGCCCAAACAAGTCCACGTTAGGGCAAGCTCCGAGAACCCCCAATTTGGTAATGTTGTTCATTCATTCATCCTAATAAAATGTCTTCTTAAAAAGCAGTTAAAACTATAAAACCATTATTTTATGTGTGAAAACTAAGAATTTAAGACCTAACGTGGACTTGTTTGGGCTTGCCTCGAGGGGCGTGGCACAAAGGCCGCTCGTAGAATCAGGAATGTAATATGTTTTACATTACATTAACTACTTGAAGTAATGCAATTGAGTGAGAAAAGAGATTGTTATGCAGGAGAGAAGAATGGAAGAAGAGAGAAAAGAGAGAGAAGAAGAGAGAAAAGAGAGAGAAGAAGAGAGAAGAGAGAACTGAGAGCAAAAAGATACTGCTGGTGGCATAGCCTTTTTAATATATATACTAGGGCGACAACAACTAAAATAAAAAGGAGTAAAAGTACAATAGTACCCATGCGGTATTATACATAGGAAAAAATAACAGCTGTTAACACTCCCCCTCAAGTTGGGACATAGATGTCAATCATGCCCAACTTGTCACATAAATCATGATGTCGTGGGAGTAAATCTAGGACATACTTCCTTTTGGGAAATGAAGATACCCCTTCTTGAGCGGGCAAGTTCAATTCCTAGGAAGTATCTTAGAGGACCTAGATCCTTTACTTCAAACTGTGTGGCAAGAAAACTCTTCAACTTTTGGATTTCATCATTCTAGTCGCCAGTGATAATTATATCATCAACATATGCTATCAAAGCAGCAATTTTACTTTCTCCTCTTTTCACAAACAATGTGTGACCAGATTGACATTGCTTGTATCCTTTCTGTTGAACCGCTGCATGGAATTTGCTGAATCAGGCTCTCAGTGATTGTTTCAGCCCGTATAAAGACTTCTTCAACCTGCACACCTTTTGTTCATTGCCTTGAGCCTGAAAACCAGGGGATTGTATCATGTAAACTTCCTCTCCAAGGTCACCATTCAAGAATGCATTCTTGATATCAAGCTGATGTAGATCCCAGTCAAGATTAGCA